TTATAAATTATATAGAACTCTTTGTCTCGTCAAAAAGAAACGGGAACTCTATTCAGAACTCCTGAGTACTATAGTTGGGGTGCTAACTTCACATACCCGGGTTATAGAATGTTTTAATTCAAATTTCAAAAAACAATTTGTTTATATTATGAAACTCACTTTTAGGAGATATTGTACCTATTTGTAGGTAACTACATGGGTAAATAAATCTTTATTGCATTCATGTAAATATTCAAAATGTTCCATATTTTTAATTAATGCTTCAGAAATGTTTCTATTTTGAATTTTCAATGTTCGACAAAAATATCGCAATTACGCTCAAATAGACCATATTAGATACAGTTATCTTATATTGTGTTTGTTACATTGTACAGAGTTATTTATTTTAATCTTAACAGGCAAATATTCCGAAAATTTGCAGATTTGTTAAAAAAATATTCCAAATAGAAATTATATGGTATAAAAGGGAACGTACGTGTTGTGACCTTTTTAATGTTGCAAAATCTCAATAAAACATCACTATGAAATTAACGTATATTCTTTAATATTTTTCTATCATATTCACCATCAGTGATGCACACTGAATTTTTATTAGTGGTATACTTCACTTATGATCGTCACTTATGGTCTCAACATTAATGTATTATTCTCTATGATATTTGAAGAAGGATTTATGATGACAGCGAAAGTATTAAACTGAATTTTAATTATTTCCGGTTGTCATAAGATGGAAGAATTATTGTAGTATAGATCATAGTTAAATATATTTGATGAATCTTTTTTAATGTATCTTAGATGCTTAAATATCTTTATTTAAATTTATAGTTGTCATTTTTTAACTGCCCGCCGAATTGATTTTTTGGACTTAAAAACGTAACTGAACTTATTAATTGTAATAATATCACAAATTGACAAGCAATTTAATAATTTAATGCTCAATTGACAGTACTTTAAAAAGATCTTAAGGGGATGCTGGAGTGACGGTCGAAGTTAATCAAGGTCGATAGTACAGACTTTTTTAAATTCCAAATTCGACAATAGTGACATCTTTCATTAATTTCTTATACTTATTATATATCGTTGTGTCTCACTCAAACGCATTCATCTGTCCTTATCTAACATATTGCATCTCTTAGAAAGAGATTAACTAAAATACTGCTCGGTTTCATGGCTAAACAGTCATACATCGTCGATTTCTCACGCGCTAGACACACAATTTCGTTCCTTGCGCTAATCTTTTTATTTAGGCGTAAAACTTAATTCTAAATATCAAAACTTAATTCTAAATATACGACTGTAATCGTCTATTTATTCTGCATGTGCTCCTGCCCTAATTTCGAGCATATAACGTGCATATAATTTGTTCACGAAGTAAATGTTTGGTGAGCTGATAGCACATGGATACAGGAATCTGTAATTTATTATTTTTCCTAGTTTTGGACACAAAATACACCAGGAGCAGGTACATTAGCACGGATATTTCAATCGTGGAGAAGGAATTTTTATTCTGTGTAACTAATTCGAAGAACCGCGCAAGGAACATAAACGCTTGCTTTATCGGTATAAAAAAAGAACTCCAGCATCCCCTTAATGTACTGAAAATAAATTCGGTGCGCAGTTCAAATGACTTCATATGTGGTATATAAATTCACATGAAAATATTTAAGCACCTAAGATCCAGCTTTGATCGTTATAGGCGTTATCTCTTACTTGTTGTATTTAGGTATATTATACAGTCTTAATAAATCGTTTATTATTATATCTTTTTTTATTATCGATATTTTACTTTCGCCATTATTTGCTATCGAATAAGTGTAATTTTCCATTTTTAAACGTAAGATTGTATATATCTCGAAATGTGTAAAATGTTAAAAGAACAATGAATAATTTTCGTTGCAGGAGTCTGCGGAGGATCGCCCGGCATGATGAGCCGGAATTCAGCAACGCCAGTATCTTGAATAGCATGGAGAAGTTCGTGCGCACCGTGAGCGAGATGGAGGACACCATCCTGGTGCCTAGCCGTCTGCTGGATCTGTCCGTGGGTGATGCGGGTGATACAATCTACATGAAGGGCAAACGCGGCTGCACGGTGAAGGACACCTTGGCCAATACCGACCTATACCGTCTCTACAACATCATCAACCAGATGAAGATCGAGTTACTGTGGTCGCAGGAGCCTACGCGAGGCACCGTGGCGGACGATCAGACGCCGATTAAGAGTCATCCGATTGGTAGCCCATCTGAACTGACGCACCATCAGGCTATAAGCAGTGGCAGACTCGGCCATGTGCGTTGTCCCAGCACCACGTCTATGCAGAGTGTACAGAGCGCGTCCTCGATCGCCTGGACCTCCGACTCGGACTCTGAGAATGGCATTGAGATTGACAGCGGCCTAGAAGGTGAAGAATGCGTAGTCGATCTAGCAAGCATCGCCGCTGAAAACTTTAAGCGTCATCTACGCGGTCTTCACAGCAGCATCGCCCGTATGACAGAGGCAGCTGAGTATCTGACGTTGCGGTATCAAGCCGATGTAGGTGGGCAGGTTTGATTATCCGCTGGTATCATTATCATCACCATTGTTGTCGTCATCGTCGCCGCCCGTGCGTCACTGATTGTCATCATGTTAGTTGGTATTGCGAACAAATATCACATCGTCACTTTGTAATCGATCTCATTGACATTTCCGCGATTTTCGATTTCCCGAGATTGAGAACAGAATTTCAGGAAACGCTGATGATGAATCGCAAAAGATTTTCTAGCATTAAACTAATCCATATCAATTTGTTATTTTATTAACGTATAATTTACTGTGTTAAAATACGCTGTTCACGCGATTAGTTTATGTGAATGATAAAGATATGTTTCGATAATGTATTTGGGACGCGCGATACGAGACAATAAATTGTCATCGGATATATAGAATTCCGCATAAATAAACTATTAGTTCCCAAATAGAATGGAGAGACTATGAGATAAGATATCTCGAGATACTCGTATCATTTTTGGCATAGCATTAGAAAAGAAAAACGACTAGTCCAGGCTTTGATTTTCTTCATTGCCATTTGTGCGGGTTTGAATTTTGACGATGGGTGTTACCTGCTGTAGACGAATAGAAGCTTTCGAGATGACATGCTATCACCAAATGTTATAATTACATGGGTAGTAAGAAGAACGGATAATTTCATCTTGAAAGAATTGGGAATTAATACGAATAAGTGTTTACTTTCAACCATCCAAATGTAAATTCTTAAATTTTTCGGTCATCTTGTTAGACGAGACATTATCGAGAAACTCGTAATCCAAGCGAAGGTAATGAAAAGCGACGGAGAGGATATATCGACCAAATAAAAACTTTAACGAATATGCCGCTGAAGGACATGATGCACTTAGCATGACTTAGCGGAGGATTGTGAGGCGTGGCAGGTTATCGCACACATAACTGCATGAAAAGTTACGACATTCGAAAAAACCGCAATCAAGAAGATAGCATTATGGGAGCTAATGTTTGATTCTGTTCTGCTTTTAATAATATAGTTTAGCACCGGCAGATCGAACAAAATGAAAAGAATCTAAAATCAAGGATGGATGTGATTGTACATCGTTATTAACCCGGGAGTGATTACATACCGGTCATTTTGCCGTACTCTTCCATTTTCTATTTATATCTTTCAATTTATTGGCACTATTATATTTTTACCTTTACGTAAATGTTTGTTAATGTTTTTTCGTATAGTATGTGAAAATAGATGACGTAAACACACTTATATCTATATAAAATTTGATATGTTGTAACGGTCGATCTAAAAGACCGTAACGCGCGCACTTACGTTAGTGTTTGTCGTCTCCGCTAATCTCCGTCATTATTATATTTTTATAAATAAAAAATAAAATTATTATAATTTTCTTATTATTTCGTTATCAATAATTTTAATAAACAAAAAAAAGATAAAATTAAAATAAAGATATATCATATAAATACAATTATTTCCAGTAATTATTACGTTCCTTTGTTTTTAATTGATTAATATAAAATATTATCACACAGAACGTTTTCTTATTAATTATTACTTATAATAATTATAATCATATATGTATTCTAGTTATAACACATATAAGTGCGAAAATATATTTCGGTCAAAATGACCAGGACGCGTCTACTAATGTTAGCTTCGAAACGTGCCTACTCCCAGGTTAATGTAAATAATTTTTTCGTCATTATATTGGAGCACATTGCGTTTCTAGTAATAGGTTTAGATATTACATGTGTGTTTATGCAAAACATGAGCAAGATGAACATAAAACAAAAATATCGAGGAAGATACATTTAATACATGAATTATATAGTTTATATCATTTTTATTTATGTCACACATACACACACCATTCTAGATTGCAATTTCCCAAACAATTTTCTTTCGATGAAGCACCATGTTAAGAACAATTCTTTATTTTACACTATATCTCTACTTTTGTATTTAAAGAGTTACAATTAATTTAGATTTGATGTAGATTATTTTAGTTCATAATTACAAAAAAATTCAGTATGGAAATATAAATTTCATATCAATACAAGAACTGTTAACAATATGAAAAATAATTTTTTAAAAATAATTCATGAAACAACGTTTGGAGTTTTGTTATTCTATGGACATAGATTCTATAAATATATAGTTATCATTTAGTTTAAATAAATATATAACAGGTCTTATTTTTTCTAAATAAACAATATATCGACTTTTTGAGAATATAAAAGTACTGTTAGACATGTGGACATTTTTAAAAACTATTTGTAAATTGTATGGAAAGAAATGAGATAAAATTGCGAAATAGTTCCTGTATGCACTATTGTTGTATGTTATTTTATAACATATGCGATTTATTGTAACATAAGTTATGATTAGTGGTTTGTAATTAAAGTACCGAATTACCTCTGAATTATTGTAAATATTGCTACATCGAAAAAATGAATGCATTTTGGACATAGCGGCTGAGTAAGATTGTACAAACTATACGTCTTGGAATTTATGTATATCTATGGTAAAAGCTGTGAGTCAGTTTCGCTAAAATATCCTTAGAGTTTTCTCTCCACTTTTAGATTTTTGCTTTTCGAGCGAATTGTTAATGTTATCGAATTATATCTGATACTGCGGCGACGATCGACATTAGTGTGTGTGCGTGCGTGCGTGCGTGCG